TTATTTTATTTAGATGTATTTATTTATTATGTGTACAGCATTCTGCTTGTATGTGTCCCTGCAGGCCAGAAGAGGGCACCAGATCTCATTACAGGTGGTTATGAGCCACCATTTGGTTGCTGGGATTTGAACTCAGGACCTCTGGAAGAGCAGTTAGTGCTCTTAACCACTGAGCCATCTCTCCAGCCCCCAGATATCTTTTCTTAAAGATTTATTTATTTATTATGTATACAGCATGTGTGCCTGCAGGCCAGAAGAGGGCACCAGATCTCATTACAGATGCTTGTGAGCCACCATGTGGTGGCTGGGAATTGAACTCGGGACCTCTGGAAGAGCAGTCGGTGCTCTTAACCTCTGAGCCATCTCTCCAGCCCATTGTTGTTCAGATATTATAAATTAAAAACATTAAAAAAATTCAAGGGCAGTATTATCAACACAAATGAACATTTATTAGTTATACACTCATGGTATTGCTCTGAAGTGGGAGTTTAATGAAGAAATCACCAGGTTTGGTAATATGTTGTCTGAATACCGCTATTCATTCCCATGAGAAAGAGGTTGGACGGTAGAAACAGCACGGTCTGATGGCAGTGCACTAGAATCACTGTCTGATGCTTTACTCTGTCCATCCTTCTCCCGAGGGCAGAGGTGAACAGGACACAGGTTTCCTCATTGCCTCATGATGAAGTTTCGGCAAAGACTGTGGCTGTACCAACTAAAAACGCTTGATGGTAGAAAATCTCAGGTATTTAGAAAATGGCAGTATAAAGAGTATCCTTCCCCTTGTTCCTCAGGTGTGGAAACTATGTAACTCACCAGCATCTTCGTGTGCTCACCCTCCCCATCCTTCCCCTTGTTCCTCAGGTGCAGAAACTATGTAATTCACCAGCATCTTCGTGTGCTCACCCTCCCTGCTCAAGTATTTCTAAGGTAACTCTCACATACACTCATGGGCCAAATACAGTCTGAGTAGACAGTGGTTGACCCCCAACATAATAAAGATAGAAGACGTTTTCATCCTCTCAGAATCCTTCGTTTCTCTATTCCACCCCGCAGGAGCCCTTTGTTCTGATTTATTTCACCATACATTAGTTTTGCCCATCCTAAAATTTCATATACATGGAACCATCATTACCCAACCCCCCATCTCTCTCTCACTCTGGACAGGGTCTTACTATGTAGCCAGGTTGGCCTGGAACTAAATAAATCACCTGCCTCTGCCTCCTGAGTGCTAGGATTAAAGGTGCGTGCCACCAGCCCAGCAGTGTGAGCCCTTTTTGTATCAGGTTTCTTTTGCTCAAAATGTTCTTTTTGTATCAGGTTTCTTTTGCTTCATCTTATTGCATGTACCAGGAACTCCCTTTTCTTGCAGCGAGAATTCTGTGATATAAGTAGATCACCAAGTGTTTGTTTGTACTTCTGTGTATAGGCAATGGGTTTTTCCTAGCCATTTGGTGGTATAAATGAATAAACACACCTCATAAGTCAAAGAGAGGGGTCTGTTTTAGCTCACAGTTCAAGGCATTGTCCATCATGGTGGGAAAGTTAAGCCATCAGGAGCTTGAAGCAGCTGGGTCACATTGCATCCACAATCTGGAATGGAGGACAATGAATGCATGCCACTATCCTGTCCACTTTTTTTTTTTGGTTTTTCGAGACAGGGTTTCTCTGTGTAGCTTTGCGCCTTTCCTGGGACTCACTTGGTAGCCCAGGCTGGCCTCGAACTCACAGAGATCCGCCTGGCTCTGCCTCCCGAGTGCTGGGATTAAAGGTGTGCGCCACCACCGCCCGGCTCCTGCTCACTTTTTGTAGTTATACGGTGCAAGATCCCAGTCAGGGAATGGAGCTGTCCGATGTGGTTAAATCTTCCCACTTCAATTAATGCATGTTTATTAGCCACATGGGGCTAGTAGTCATCCTCCTGGGCATCTAGAGGCCAATCTTGGAAATATGGATGGAGCTATCACTTTATGCTAATAGGTGAAATGTAAGAACAAAGGGACAATGACTGAAATGGGAAAGGAAGGATGTCAGAGGTTAGATAACTGGTAGGTGACGGCATCTAAGCTTGTGTGGTGGTTTGAATAGGTATGGCCCACAATGTTGAATACTTGGCCCACAGGGAGTGGCACTATTAGGAGGTGTGGCCTTGTTGGAGCAGGTGTGGTCATATTGGAGGAAGTGTGTCACTTTGAGGGTGGGCTTTGAGGTTTTCTATTCTCAAACCTATGCCCAGGATGGCTCACAGTCTCCTGCTGCCGCCTGTGGATCAAGATATAGAACTCTCAGCTCCTTCTCCAGCACCATGTCTGCCTGCATCCCACCATGCATCTCACTGTGATGATAATGGACTAAACCTCGGAACCTGGAAGCCGGACTGTTGTTGTTGATCGTTTTTACTCTTTAGGGGGGCTGCCACCCAGCTCCCAAACAAATCACACATGGAGACTTATTCTTTTTTTTTTTTTCAAGACAAGGTTTCTCTGTGTAGCTTTGGAACCCGTCCTGGATCTTGCTCTGTAGCCCAGGCTGGCCTCCAACTCACAGAGATCCGCCTGCCTCTGCCTCCCAAATGTTGGGATTAAAGGTGTGCGCCACCACCGCCCGGCGGCGGAGGCTTATTCTTAATTATAAATGCCTGGCCTTAGCTTAGCCAGTTTCCTGTCAGCCTTTTTTTTTTTTTTTTTTTTTTTTTTTGGTTTTTTGAGACAGGGTTTCTCTGTGTAGCTTTGCGCCTTTTCCTGGAACTCACTTGGTAGCCCAGGCTGGCCTCGAACTCACAGAGATCCGCCTGGCTCTGCTTCCCGAGTGCTGGGATTAAAGGCGTGCGCCACCACCGCCCGGCCCTGTCAGCCTTTCTTAACCTAAGTCAGCCCATCTATCTTTTGCCTCTGGGTTTTTACCTTTTCTTACTTCTGTAATCTTACTTCCACGCTTGCTGTGTAGCTGGGTGGCTGGCCCCCGGAGTCCTCCTCCTTCTCTGGCTACCTCTCTCCTCCCAGATTTCTCCTTCTTTATATTCTCTCTGCCTGCCAGCCCCACCTGTCCTTTCTCCTGTCTTACTATTGGCCATTCAGCTCTTTATTAGACCATCAGGTGTTTTAGACAGGCACAGTAACACAGCTTCACAGAGTTTAATAAATGCAACATAAAAGTAACACACCTTAAAATAATACTCTACAATATTAGGCCCAATTAAATGTTTTCCTTGAAAGATTTTATTTATTTATTATGTATACAGTGTTCTGCCTGCACACTAGAAGAGGGTATCAGATCTCACTACAGATGGCTGTGAGCCACTTTGTGGTTGCTGGGACTTGAACTCAGGACCTCTGGAAGAGCAGCCAGTGCTCTTAACCTCTGAGACATTTCTCTAGCTCAAATGTTTTCCTTTATAAGAGTTGCCACAGTCATGGTGTCTCTTCATAGCGTTAGAAACCCTAACTAAGACAGGTTGTGTCTGGGAAGGAAGAATTGGAAAGAATATGGTTATTGCGGCCTCAAATGAGTGACATTCTATAAGAGAGTTCCAAGAGAGGGAATGGTTGATAATTTACTAATAGCATTAATTATCACTGGCCGATTCATTCAGATCACAAATGAAAATAGCCCTTTCACACTGTGCTTGTGTGCTCCAAGGAAGCTTGTGACTCTGGAGCTTGTAGTTGGACTTTTCTATCCTGCCAGCCAGTCCAAATCACAACACGGAGACTTAATTATAAATGCTCGGCTGATAGCTTAGGTTTGTTACTAACTAGCTCTTACAACTTAAATTAACCCATATTTCTTATCTAAGTTCTACCACACGGCTCATGGCTTGTTACTTCATTTTCTACATGTCCTGCTTCCTCTGTGTCTGGCTCATGATTCCGAGACTCTGCCCTTCTTCCTAGTGTTCTCTCTGTCCTGAAAATCCTGTCTAGCTATAGGCCAGTCAGCTCTTTATTGACCAATGAGAGTGATACATATTTACAGTGTACTAAGATTGCTCCACAGCAGGAGGTGGTGGACTGAGGAGGCTGGAATAATGGGGGTTTGAGGTACAGTAACTCCTTTGCCATCACTGATAAATGAAATAAGTGCTTAAGGCAAGAATATTACACTCTCAGTTTTTGACTAATTCTGTGGATTTCCAGTGTGATGCGACTTTTGGACACTTGTTCCTCTGAAACATTGTTGGAAGGTATTGGAAGATTCACGATGCATACATCCTTATTAAAATATTAACTTATGAGTCAAATTGATGGGTTTTGAACCCAAAAGATCAAATAGTTCATTTAATCATATTAGCCAAATTGGTTTTAAACCAGTGGCATTATTTGTGGTGCTTAAGAAGTCATTATTCTCCAACCGAGTGGATAAATGGGTCACCTTGGGATTTGCAGCTGGGGTTTTCTTTTATGGCAGTGTACTGGGGACTAAGTCATTTGTCCCAAAGAGACTCTCTCAGCAAAGGTTCGCCAGACCTGTCTTGATTAATTTCTCAAAACCACATGAGGAAACTTACCAATTACGCTTTCCAGGGTTGATTTGATCAGCCTCACATGGCTGCACAGTCTGCACAGGTAGGAGCTCGGACGGATCAAAATGGTTAAGAAACGCCTGACGGAAATGATCCGCGAACCGACTTCTAATATGACTTAAGCTTATGTGGTTTAGATGGCTGTATCTTTGAGATGCGGGGTGTAGAATTATCTCATGCAAATTCTGACACCATTTCTGAAGAAGCAGGTGGGGAGCAGCACTAACTCTTTTTTTCCCGCTAGGAGAAGATAGAATGACAGAGAACATCAAAGCGAAGGAAGATAACAGAGTGAACCCGCTGCAGAACTATCAAGATTTTCTTCCCTGTCTGCTTCCATCCTCCATTTCTACCGCAGTTAGCACAGCATGACAGTAATGAGGTTGCGATATGCATTTTCAGTCCACACAGATGTTATTACTTCACATTACAACAAATTACCTTTTTTTTTTTTTTTTTTTTTTGCCTTGCTAGGCTCTTGCTGACCAAGTGGAACCCTTGGCTCAACAGCATCAATATCAACTAGCAGCTGGTTAGAAATACTCAGAATCTACTAATCAGTGTGCTTTGATTCACACAGAGACGTCAAAATCGAGAAGCCCTCCTTGAAGGACCTTGACAGCCCCAAGAGAGTGGATTTCCTTCCTGGCTGCGATCCCCCCTCACACTCACTTTTGAGCACAGGAATCTTTGAACTTCTGGCCTCAGGGATCTTACGTAACTGCTCAACAGGTGGGCTGGGCATCCTAGAGTTTTAAGGCTCCCATGTGTGATTTTAGGGGTACAGACTTGAAGGGCACTGGTTTCTGGGGGTACGCCTCCTTCCAAAAATGTACCGTTCTTTAAACTTTTATACAGGTTTATACGACACCTGTGTTGTCTGAAGAAACAGAGTTCAGGATTCTTCTCATCCTACCCATCCATTCATTAAATAACTTTAAGGAGAAATGTGTTTAATCTCAGGTCTGGCTGACCCTCCTAATTCAGTGTTTACCCTTAGATCTGGTATGTTAAAGCCTGCTTGATGTCTCACAAAACATGAGGGGATAAATGGAAAATAAAGGGAGACATGTGTTGTTTTCATTCTTTACTAAGATGAGCTAAACACTCCGATTATCAGAATTATGAAATTCAGAGGACACATGAAGAGGGTAGTTTACCAGACAAGAATAGAGAAAAACCAGTAAAATTGGAATTTTAGATAGACAGGGAAGGCTTTTTATTTAATAATGTAGCTTTTGGTCTGATTGAGAGGATTTACTCTAATGCAGGCTGGTCTTGAACTTAACTGTGTAGCCCAGGCTGCTTTCAAGCTTGGAATCCTCCTGTCTCAGAATCCCAAGTAGCTGGGCACATACTACTGAACCTGGGTTAACTTCTTTTTTTATTTTTATTTTTTAATTTTGGACAGGTCTCTGTGTAGCCCTGACTATCCTGGAATTCCCTATGTAGACTACTGTCTTGAACTCATAGAGATCCACACCTCTCTGCCTCCTGAGTGCTAGGATTAAAGGCGTGCACCACCGGGCCTGGAAGCTTTGTATCTTTTTTTTCCAAAGATTTATTTTATGTTATATGTTTGACTAAGCATATGCATGTACACCATATGCATGCATTGCCCACAAAGGCCAGAAGAGGCCATCAGATCTGCCTGGAACTGGAGTTACAGACAGTCGTGAGCCTCCATGGGGGTGCTGGGAAATGAGCCTGGGTCCTCTGCAAGGGCAGCAGGTGCTCTAAACTGCTGAGCCATCTCTTCAGCCCCAACTTTGTATTTTTAATAGTAAGTTGTATTTATTATAAGTAGGTCCTATGAAAGCACGTGGGCATGTTTATGAATGTTAAATATGGCAACTCCGAGAAATAAGCCATGTAAAATGAAGACTAAAAAGTATGCATAATGAATACAATTTGAACCTCCATGATGTGTTATCAGGATGCCCACATAAAATACCTTTTATGGGACATTTTATTTTTTTTTTTAAGGAGGCAGGATCCCAGTCTTACAGGACCACAGTCACATCCGGAAACTCACAGACATCTCAGGCACTGTGTTGCCTCTGCCATCCAAGTTGCTAGAATTACACCCAGCCAGGACATATTATAATATAAAGAATAGTATATACTCCATGATCTCAGCCCAACAAGAAATCTCTGAGTACTTTTGACCGAGAAATCTCTTTGAGATGAGGGCGAAACAAAAAACAAGTTTATGCATTCTGATTGCCATTCGTTATGTGCGAAATAAACCAAAACAATAACGTTACCACCCGCCCCGCAGCGCTGAAGAGGGAAAAAACCAGAAATAGAACGCAGGGAGAATGAGCTGTTGGGAACGCTTTCGAGCAGCAGAGGGCGCAAGTGCACCACCGATGAACTCCCAGTCACGCCCGACGGGGTCCTTTTCGCAATACTCTATGTGCAGCTCAGATTTTATTTAAATATTTATTCGAATCAACTTTGGCATGCAGCGGTGCAAAAACAGATTAGAAACTAAATGCAGGCCTAGTATACTCTCCAGCGTTTGCATTTCCCTAAATGATATATTGCTTTTGCTTAAACTCCTTGGCTTAGGAAGTCCTTCAGCTGGCAGCTGGCAGACCTGCGCTTCCGGTTTATGCTTCAATCCCGGCGGCGTTGTTTTTCTCGGATCTTGGGCTGTGTGTGAGAGAGGCGGGGATGGGTGGGGATTTATCAAGGTAAAGAAGCGGAAGTCCCAGGCAGGCTGGGACGGGCTCCCGAACCACAGCAGGAGTCAAACGTGACCGTTCTGTCCCCAGGTGCAAAGCCATACAGAGAGTGTCTGAGTCGGAATGACTTAACTTTCCCAGACAGGCATTCAGGTTGGTTTTCTTAGTGCGAGCCTTGGCCTTTTACAGGCATCCGAGAGCCGGGGAACAGTGAGGGCGGATTCCTAGAAACGCACTTGTGGATGTTTTTGTCTTTGTGCAAACAGCTTAGGGTGTACTCAACACAGCCTCCGCAGCACAGCCCACGTCCCCCCCAGGGCTCTGGCTTCCAAGCCACAAACTTGTACAGCGTATTACGTGATTTACCTCTGTACTCTGCTGAAACACAATGGTTAAGTGTTTGCATAGGAAAGCATTTCTAAATACAGAAAAGGTACACCAGATACGGGATCTTAAAATTTATAATCATTTTTTGAAATTACAATATAATTACATCATTTCTTCCCTTTCCTCCCTCCAACCTCTCTGATGTACCAAGGCCCTTGCTCTCTCTCAAATTCATTTCTTTGTTGTTACATATATACGTGTGTGTGTGTGTGTGTGTGTGTGTGTGTGTGTGTGTGTGTGTGTGTGAGTGAATTCCTAAATACATAATACAACCTGCTCAGTCCATACAATGTGACCTGGGTGCCGTATGATATAATCTCAGGGTTGATCACTTGGCATTGGGAAGCCAGTCATGAGGATTTACCTGGGGGGAGACCATTTCTTCGGCTCTCAGTGTTCCCTAGTCGCCGGTGGTTCTCTGTCTGGGGTTGAGGTCCTGTGGGCGTTCCCCCTGCACGCTAGCATGAGTCTTACCAGCGTCCTTGTTCAGGTCTTATTTAGGCAGCCATGTTGTTGGGAGTTAGAGGGTGCAGCCCCTCCAACATTTCTAGGAGACATGATCTCATGGAAAACGTCTGTGTCCCACACCCCCAGCTCTCACAGTCTTCCTGTCTCATCTTCTGCAATGATCCCCGAGGCTTATGTACAGGAATTGTGTTGTAGATGGATCAGCTGGAACCGGACACCACGCGGCCTCTTGTTCTCTGCATCCTGGTTGGTTGCGGTCTCTTGTTCGCTGCATCCTGGTTGGTTGCGGTCTCTTGTTCTCTGCATCCTGGTTGGTTGCGGCCTCTTGTTCTCTGCATCCTGATTGGTTGCGGTCTCTTGTTCTCTGCATCCTGACTGGTTGTGGTTTTCGGTAATGGTTTCCGTCTGTTGGGAAGAGATGTTTCTTTGATGAGAGGTGAGAGCTGTGTTTATCTGTGCATCTAAGAATAAGGATTTCTCAGTTCTTTATCATCCGATGGGGTCATCTTCCTTTTTTTATTTATTTATTTTTTTGCTTTTCTTTTCTTTTTTTTTTTTTTTTTGGTTTTTTCGAGACAGGGTTTCTCTGTGCAGCTTTGCGCCTCTCCTGGAACTCGCTCTGTAGCCCAGGCTGGCCTCGAACTCACAGAGATCCGCCTGGCTCTGCCTCCCGAGTGCTGGGATTAAAGGCGTGCGCCACCACCGCCCGGCTGTTTTCTTTTTTGAGACGTGGGTCTATACTACATTTTTTTTTATTCATCTATTGGTGAATGTCTACGTTGATTCCATAATGTGGCTCTTATGAATAGTACCTCAATACAAAATGGCTGCAGAAGTATGCCCAGTATACACTGACTTAGATTCCACTGGGGTCTGAGAAAACGGAGCCTTCAGCATCCCAGGATCTAAGACACCAGCAACAGCAGTATAGTTGGATCCCACGGTAGCTCTGCTGTTGGCTTTGTTTCTTCTCTTTGTTTTTAATAGAACAGTCATCAATATTGCAAAGCATTTACCTTCTGTGGGGTACATTTGAGAAACATGGGTCTACTGAGTAAAGACGTGGAAAACGTTCTCTGTAGGAGTTCAAAGGAGATCACGAGATCGTCCTGTTAGAGAACATATGCATTCAACCCCTTTATGGGTGTTAGGCTAGGAACTAGAGATGTGAGACAGGTTCTGTGTCAGGGAGAGGAGTCTACAGTTTAAATGAGGAGGAGGCCTCTGGTTTGAACGGGAGCATGGCTTCAGCTCCCGTGATGTTTCAGCATTTTTTAAGGATAAGATGGAGATAACTGTAGGGACCTCTAAGTCGGCTCAAGACACCCCAAGACCAAGTTCTCAGCACAAAGGAGATTTATTTGCCCCAGAGGGACAGAGGGCAGGGCTAAGGGACAAAGACAGGAGATAGAGGATGAGGGGGAAGGGGAAGGGAACAAGGGAGAGGAGGATGGGGTGTTTGTGTGTAGGGGGGACGTGGACGGGACAAAGGAATTCCTCTGGATAGAGAGGAGACAGATGTGGCCCGTAGGCAAATGGCGGTTTGTAAAGGTTAAAGGGGAAATCCTGTGCTGGGATGAGGTCTTTAATTTTCATTGGGCATGTTAATTAGGTGAGCCAAAGGGGGCTTTTGATGCTGGACTTCAATACTTTGGTAGCTGGACTTTGGTAGTCAGCCTCAGGAGGAGGGAGTGGTCAAATAAGGGATGGATCTTGGGGGCTAGCTTCAGGAATGTAATCTAACGGTTTTTAACAAGGCAGAGGGAATGCAGGAGAAGGGCACAGCCTGCCAGAGCTTTGATTGCCAGGCCTGGGCTAGCTAGAGTCCCTTCAATAACAGACAGCTGAGTTGCCGCTGATTTCTTAATATGGTATTCTGATTTGCTCTCCTGTTGAACCAATTAGTGTTTTCTTTAATCTAGTATCGCTCAGCTGCTATGAAGAAAGGACATTCAAACACCGTATTTGAATAAAGAGCCACCATTGAGACTCACATGCTTGGAAACCCAGTTTCCTCCTTTTTACACAGGTGTGTGTGGATGCACACATGAGCTCATCATTTTCAGTGCATCATATCCTCGAGTCATTTGGCGGATAAAGCACATGAGGGCTTGCGGACACTCTTTTAGAAAGAATTATTATTTATTGTTACTGTGTGTGTATGGACGTTCGTGTGGAGGTCAGAAG